TCTCTCCTCTCTCTGTGTTCGCCTTTCTCTCACAGAGCTGGAGGTGGACTAGGAGACTGCAGGAGGTGCAATGGAGGGGGAGGGGCTTTGGCTCAGTTGCTCTGAAGCCTTGGACCTGGGAGAGTGAAGGGGCACTCGCAGCGAGGTCCCACACGGACCCAGTTACCACTTGGAACCCATCATGTTTCCTGCCTTGTCAGTAAGCGTCAGGTGGAAAACCGCCCCCTGACTTTACCTTTTAAGGGTGGGCTCCGAGCTTCTGGAGGACACTGTGTAAGGGAGTAGGCCCCAAACGAGGCCAAATCTGGGTCAGAGGTTAGCGGGAGACTGTGAAAATGAGGGTCAGCATTCCCCAGGGCCACTGCTTCCTCCCCTTTCACAAGTCTCTAAACTTTGGAATCAAGTCCAGGCGGTGATGTAGTCTTATCTCTATGAGGAGCGATGGGTTAGGGTGCAGGATACTGCCGGGGTGTGGCCTTCATGCACCTCCTTAGAACCCTGGAGTTGGTGGGGCCTGGGTCTCCTTCTGAATGTTTGAAACGGAACTGGAAGGGACACTGAAAAAGAGAGACGTGGTGGTTACGGTGCTGAGGGCTCCCTCTCCCTTGGGGTTGGAGCCTTCCCACCCCCTCGGGGCTGGGGGCTGTGCAGTTCCAGGAGGCCACCTCTTGTCTGGCTCTTCTTCAAGACATCTCTCAAGAAGCCAGGGCCTTTGCTCTTCACCCATCCATGGTTGCCTTTCAAGACTGACTGGTCTACATGGGTCATTTCCAGGGCTTCACAAGTGACTTTCCTTGTCACACCTTTGCCCTGCTGAACACAAGGACTTGTCTTCCTGCCCCTGTAAACCTGTGAACCCCAATAGACCCGATCTCTCCATTTCCGAGGAAATAGCCAGCGGATGCTTTTATTAAAGAGAAAGGAGGAAGAGAAGAGACCTGGTTCTTAGTAAAGGAATTGATTAGTGATTAGCTGTTTCCAGGACAAAGTTTAAAATGACCGTGCCCACCACAGCGGGCTGGAAAGGAAGGATTTTACTCCCTTTGTCAAAATCTTGAAGATGGCATGACGAATTCGCTTGCTGAAAAGCAAAAGACGTCAAAGCAGTTCGGTTAGGAGATACTTATTAGGACAATCGAAAACAAAAGATTTCGTGGTTTCATTACTGTTATTATTTTATGTTCTTCCTGAAAATATGCAAGAACAGCTCATCTGGGTGGCCTGTGGTTTGTTTGGGAGCAGGGTGGGGAAATCTATTCTGACTATAATTTAAAAGAGAACGAATTCTTAAAATAGAGACGTTGATGTTGCAGAACACGTCCCTCCCCCACTACACCCGCCCTGGGGGCTAAAGACCCCAAAGTGCTTCGACAGACACCAGGATCAAGGGCTTCGCGGCAAAACCATCGCAGAATTCAAAGGTAGGCAGCGGAACACTCCTTTTCAACCCCCAGGAAATGTTCTCTTGCGGGCACTTGCAAAACAAGGGGCCGCACGTGACCCGGGACGTGGCGGAGAAGGGAGGGCGCTTTTCCTACAAGTTGCCCCAGAGGGGTGGAGACCCCTCCTGTTGTCTCTGAAATTCTGGGGCGAGGCCCCATTGCGTTTAAGGGAGATATTCAGAATTATTTGTCTTATTTTGTTTGAAAATCACTCGTTCAGTACAGTGTGACCCCTCGGAATAAAGTTAATTGGCAGCCCCTCCTCCTCCTCCTCTTCAATCGCCCCAGGAAGGAGGCGCAGAGGCTGCGGTCCGGCTGAGCCGGATGGGCCAGGCCATAGGGTCCCAGAGCCCAGCCTGAGAGTTCCAGGCTTGGCAGCGAGGGCCAGAATCCATGGGACAGAGGGAGTTTTTGCACAAGAGGCGCGCTCTCGGGATTATCGAAGGGTGAAGGGAAATTCAGAAGAAGGGAAGTGAAGACACGCGAGCGCAAGTGGCGGCTAGCACGCTCAGCTCTCCGAGAGCGCATTAGGAGAGCAGTGAGAGCAACCCCCCTCTGCGCGTCTCAAATCCGAGCTGCAGATGGTGAAGGGCAGTCCGAGGCCCCGAGCGCCTCCACCAGGACACTGCTCAGCGGAGGAAGCCCGGCACCTCCCGGCTCGCTCACGCTGCCGCAACAAACACTTTGGCGTGTGCGGGGCGTGGCCGAAGATGGTCACGCCCCCTCCCTCCCAAATCCCCTCCACTCAGGGCTCCCATTGGTCTCGAGAATCACCAATGAGGGCGCGGATCAAGGTCCTACCCCGAGTCTGACTCGAAAACTGGCAAAACTTTGGGCGTATTTAAAGAGGAGTTTTTTTTGTGCGTATTGTGGGTTGTGTTTTGATGTGTGTGTTTTTTTAAGCCATTGCTTTTTTTTTTTTTTATAAAAAAATAACTGATTTTTATTGTTGATATTTTAAATTTAGTCCCGAGGCCTCAGTTGTTTGGGTGTCTCTGGCGGGGACCGGCCCCTTCTCTCCGGCTTCCCTTGGTGTGCGAGGCGTGGCCCCTGCGCGCGCGGCCACTTCTGTGCGCTTGGCCTCTGCGCCCCACGCTCGCTCGGGCGGACGGGGAGCGCAGTCGCCGCGCCGCGTTTACAGTGAGGCCAGAGGCCGGCTCCCGGCCCTCGGCTGCTTCTTCGGCGGCGCTAGGGATCCTAGGCTTCTCTGCGCTCCCGGGAAGCGAAAGCGGATCGTCTCGTACGGAACTGGGCTGCCTCCTTCGCGGCTCTGCACGTCCCTCTCTGCGCTCCCACCCGCCCGGCCCGGCCAGGGAGAGGCAGCGGCGCGACACGCCCGCCAGGATGTTCACCGGGCTGACCCCCTTCTACGCCTCCAACTTCAGCCTCTGGTCAACCGCTTATTACTCTTCGGCCGGCCCGGGCGGCTGCTCCTTTCCCCTGGACCCTGCCGCCAAGAAGCCCTCCTTCTGCATCGCAGACATCCTGCACGCCGGCGTCGCGGAGCCCGGGGCCACCGCAGAGGGCCTAGCGGGAGCCTCGGCCGCCGCGCTCACTGCACACTTGGGCTTGGTTCACCCGCATGCCTCGTTCCAAGCTGCGGCCAGGTCCCCGCTCAGACCCACCCCAGTTGTGGCGCCTTCCGAAGTCCCGGCCGGCTTCCCGCAGCGACTGTCCCCTCTCTCGGCTGCCTACCACCACCATCACTCCCAACAACAGCAGCAACAACCAGCGCAACAGCCACAGCCTCCCCAGCAACCGCCTCCCCCGCAGGCCCGGCCCGGTGCCCTGCAGCCCCCGGCCTCGGGGCCGCGAGTGGTCCCTCCGAACCCCCACCACAGCGGTCCAGCCCCGGCCCCCTCCAGCAAGGACCTCAAATTTGGAATTGACCGCATTTTGTCTGCTGAATTTGACCCAAAAGTCAAGGAAGGCAATACGCTAAGAGGTAGGTTTTGGGAAGGACGTTGCAGGCCTTTCTGGCCGCGGACTTGACTCATTTCCCGGACCCTGGGTGAGATTGAGATGCCTGTGAAAGCTTTTATGTTTAAAGGGGGGGGGGAATGAAGAGTAGGAAACGGATTGTGAGAAAGCTAGGGACATTTGAGGTCGAAAATTCACAAACCCGCTCTATGTATATAAAGAAAAAACGCCATGAAGACTTGAAAAACAGTTGTCACTTAAGCGTGGACGTTGTAAATATTTGCTAACATGACTGTCAACCGGCTTTTAAATCACATATCTGGAGGACATACTCATTGCCATTGAGTCCATTCCAACCCGTAGTGACCTTTTAGGACCAAGTAGAGGGTCCCCACAGCGTGTCCAACTCTGGGCTCTTAATAGAAACAGACTGCCACATCTTATATCTAGAGGGAGAACGACGTTTTCTATTAGGAAAAACCCTTCTGGGGAACGTTTTCTCTTTCACATGACTGGTTTTTGGTGAAAATGTTACTGGAGAAATGTAGATAACTCCCAGGAGGAGAGCGCAGAGTAGGGGTCCTTGGGGCTGAGAATGGGACTGGGGAATTCTTGAAAGACACCTGAAGGTGACATCGGTAGGACTGTTTTATGTCACCCTTGACCTTGTTGTATGCGTCCACCAGGAACATTTTTTAGCATCGTCCTTGGTGATGAGGGCTTTCTCAGCACAGATGGGGTTCTCTCATGATTTAACCGTAAACCGTGGGCATGGGAGGAACTGGTGAGTGTGCATTTGCCTGGAGTGTAACCAAAGATCTTTTCCTCTCCACCCAGATCTCACCTCCCTGCTGACCAGCGGGCGGCCAGCGGGGATGCACCTCCCAGGCCTGCAACCCTCCACAGGCCAGTTCTTTGCATCTCTTGATCCCATCAATGAGGCTTCTGCCATCCTGAGCCCCTTAAGCTCAAACACAAGAAGTTCGGTTCAGCATCAATTTCAAGACACGTTTCCAGGTACGGAAACCCTCCCCAGCCAGCGATGGGGGGGTGGGGGGGGGTGGGCAACTTGGTAGTGACAGAATTCTCAAGACTTGATGCCTCAAGGGGCGGTTTGCAGTGTCACAATTCAGGATTGGGCGCGGAAGATAGTGAGTTAGGATAGAGAAACCGAAAGATTTCTCAGTGAGCTAGGAATGACTCCCACCCGGAAAGTATAGGGCATCCTGGCAGAGCCAAGACTGAGTATGTTGTTTCCTTTATCTTAAGGACTAGCTTACTTGCAAATCTGAAAATGCAGCATCAAGAGATGTTGCTTATTACCAAACACACGTTTTAAAATTACTTCACACACTTTAACTCTGTGAGACAAAGCTTTCTGGATGCAAGAACAAGTGAGAGTAAGTACACACACATGCACACCCATAAAAGAAAAATAGAATCTGCCATCTCTTGATGATACAGACTAAGAAACATTTCTACACATGCCTGATGGTCGCATGTTAGAATTATATTTTCCTTCGGATGTGCCTGGGAACCTTAAGGTTTCTCTATGCCACATTTGCCTAGGTCTTATGTCTAATCGCTAAGTAGTTGTACAATTCTAGGTGTGTGTGAAAGGTTTTTTTAAGAAACTTTATTTGCATACCAAAAAAAGTTTTTAAGCAGCTTGGTAAGCACCAGGCCTGTGTATCTCAGGCTGGACATTAATAGACCCTCTGTCACCCTTTCCCCCCACTTTCCCTCACACAGGCCCCTATGCTGTTCTCACAAAGGACACTATGCCGCAGACTTACAAGAGGAAGCGCTCATGGTCACGCGCTGTCTTCTCTAACCTGCAGAGGAAAGGCCTGGAGAAAAGATTTGAGATCCAGAAGTATGTGACCAAGCCTGACCGGAAGCAGCTGGCAGCCATGCTGGGCCTTACTGATGCTCAGGTAAGGTAACTTTAGGCTCCAGCGCACTGCTGTCCTCAGACAAGTGGCCATGCTAGATCTGGTCTCCTCAGGCCTGCCACTCTGGCAAAGTCCCTGCTTGTGGTGGGTACTAAAGGTCTAAAATATTAGAGGCCTTCTGGACCTCAGAACTTGGGGTAGAAGGCTAGAGGGGTGGAGGAAAAGGAGGGAAAGAATAGCTCATCACCAAAGATGTCAACAAGCACTGTTTGTTTATTTTGGCTAACAAGCAAAAGAACCTCGGAGAAAACAAACTGGCCAAGGGAGATAATAATTATGTGCTCAACTAGTGCAATTCACTGTAGGAGGCAGCTTATTTCAGAAGAGATTAAAACCCAAAGTCAAGAGATTGTTTCTCTACTCCCCCATCCCCCCTTAGGTCTTTCTCCCATCCTCCCTGCCACCTCCTCCTCCTGCTGCTGGATTGTGTAATCTCTAGTTGTGAGGAAGTGAAAAGTGAAAACATCATTTCAAACAGAAATACTGAGACTCTGGGCCAGTAGTGAGAAGCCCACTTGGAGAATCCAGAGCCAGCCTGTCTCCTAGCAGTGTGGCCTGTGAGCACAGATCATGGCTAGGGAAGGGTGTGAAGGAGAGGAAGGAGGGGGAAAATTAATTTTTTTTTTGCAGTATCCATGAGCATTTTACGCATATTTAGCTTTTTAAATTTTTTTTAAAGTTGAAAATCTGTTGCGCTCTCAATTCCATTTCCCCTCTCAGTCCAAGAATTGGGCTATAAAAATATTTTTAAGCAGGAGAAATAGAAGAGTCACGATTGTTTTTCCTTCTACAATTCCAGCCCTTGCCCCCTCAGTGCTGCCCTACTGAGCAGAATAGCAGCTCCGAGTGGCTTTTTCTTAGCTTCTCGGCTTTGGGCCTTCTGTCTCTGTGTCTGTCTGTTCTCCATTTCATGATCCAGCTCCCCAGCACTTTATTGGAAGAGCTAGACATTCTCTACCAGCTGTGGATGTTATTTTTAAAAGAGAATCTGGAACTTGTGTGAAGTATCGGATCCTCTTGGGGATCATATATAATTATGTAGGATCTCCGTCGCATCCCTGCTCTTTCCTCCACTTTGCACTAGTTTAATTCCAGAGTTTTCAGGGCCTACAGCAAGATTAGCTTATCCCAACTGGGGTGAGTTCCTTAGCCCCAACTCCTGCAGACGTTCAGAGGAAATGATATTCTGCTGAAGCCCAACAGTGCCCTGGATTGAGTAGGATGCACTCTTTTCCAGCTTTGTATTCTGAGGCTCTTGTTTTAAAAAAACGAGTTGCTGTGTGCAGTAGTGGTAGCTTTAGTAGTGGGCAAACTTAAAGCAAGAATTCTTAACATGGGTCCCCAAAACTCTTGACATAACATGTGAAATTGTGGGGGTATGTGTATTTGGAGTGGCAAGATGGTGGAGGCCTGACTAGTGGAATTAAGAAGTACGATTTAAGGGGGAGCAGAGATTGGGTCGCAGCCATTTCAAGCATGAATTCTGAGGGCCACGTTTTAGGAAAGGAATTAAATGTTCTGGAGGTCAGGATTTGGGACATCTTGGTTTCCCCAGAGTTACCTGTGAGCCCCTGTGCGATTGGCGGGATTTTCCCGAGTTGGGGAGCAGCTGAAGGACAGAAGGGAGCCTGCGTCTCATCCCCGTGTCCTTCCTTGTCTCTCCCGGTGTGCGGTGCAGGTGAAGGTGTGGTTCCAGAACAGACGAATGAAGTGGAGACACTCCAAGGAGGCCCAGGCCCAGAAGGATAAGGACAAAGAGGCAACTGAGAAGCCACCAATGGGACCCCCAGCTTTCGAACGGGATGAGCGGAGCCCCAGCCGCTCAGAGGGCGAGGCTGAGAGCGAGAGCAGCGACTCCGAGTCCCTGGACATGGCCCCCAGCGATACAGAACGGACTGAAGGCCCCGATCGGGCCTTACACCAAACCACGGTCATCAAGGCCTCAGCCACGGGCACGTTGGTCACTGCCAGCAGCTGTGGGAGCGGCGGGAACAGCAGCGGTTGTAGCAGTTTTAGCTTTAGCAGCTCCAGCAACCTCAGCAGCAGCACCAGCGCCAGCAGCTCCAGCAGCCTCAGCGAGCAGTCCACCCACAGCAACGCTGCTCCCCCAAGCCCAGAGCCTGCGCCGGCGGCGCCTCCGCTCAGCAGCCTATAGACAGTGTGAAGGCAGAGGACCCTGGGAAGGCCACCCAGCTGCTGATCCTGTGCCTTCTTTCTGACAGTTAGGCTGGGGGGTGGTCAAGGCCAGGAACGCAGTTGGTGGAGCAAGCTTCGCAGTGGTGGAGCAAGCTTCGTGTCTTCACCCGTTCCCTCCGCCAGGTCAGCAGGCTGCAGCAGAGCTGAGCAGAGCTGAGTAACGTCTGGGAGTGTCCCCCCGTACCCCACCCATAAGCCTATCCCTTCTCCCGGGAAACTAGCAGCTCGAACTACACTGTGAAGTGTCTGCCTCAACAGTTTCTTCCCTCTACCAGAGGTCGTGGCACAGAGACCTGCACTGAGGACGTCTCAATCTTGTAAATAAAATGTTTACTATAGTTTGTAAAGGCCGCTTGGCTTGCTGTGGCTATGCCACCATCAACGCCTCAGGCACTGGAGCTCGAGTGGGCCTGAGGCTGTAGTTTGTGTGTGTAAGGGATGCAACTTCAGAGCCATAGGGCTGTTGTTTGTTGGGGTTTGGAGATTGCATTTAGTTAAGAGATCTCTGCGATGCTGTGCAGCAAACCAGAATGCACGTGCCAGCCGCCATGGAATCCCATGAGTCCATCTTACAAAGGGCTTTTCCACTTGGAAGCTAGATATAAGGAGTGTGTGCATTGAGATTTCTGGGGCTTGAGAGTTCCCCAAGGTGGAGGTGATAGGCATGGTCACCCAGACAAAGCTGTATGCCGATCAGATCCTGGCATGGCGCTGAGGGGCGCTTTCCCAGCCTGGTCTTCCCTTTGCTAGAAGATGGGACAGAGTAGAGAAGGAAGAGGCAGGTATGTATTGTGACTAAGGAGAGAACTGAGTACAGAGGCCTGCTCTGAAAAGAACCAGGGTGCAGTTTGTAAGGATGAGGGAACGCTGGTTGCTTAAGGAGATGGCTAAGGAAGAACCTGGACGTCTTATCTTGTGTGTGCCCAGTGATGGTTCTAAAAACTGCAACTCTTCATCAGTATTCCTTGGAAACAGGGTCATGCTGAGCTCTCTTTCCCAAAGTCTAGGGAGTTGAGAGACACCCTCCCCAGGCGATTACAGCTGGGAAAAATAAACAAATTTGGTCTTTGCTGCTGTTTCTAGGACTGGTCATCTCAAGGTTTTAGAAAAGATAAAAGTCAAAATTCTCTTCGAGATCAGTCCTACAGTACTTTTCTTTCTGGAGACTATGAGTTGGCAAAATCTAAGTTGGTAAAAATGCTTTTAGGGCATTTAAAACCAAATGAACGTTCTAAACACCAAACAATCTAGTTGATTTGCCGTTAAACTTGGTGAGAGTGCGCCTCTCTCAAGCGGGCTGTGGTTCAGGAATAAACACACATGATCTGCACTCGTGCAGAGAGCACCCTGGCCCGTGGTCAGGGTGAAAAGCCTTCCACAACCCTCCTCATTTAAGGTTTTCCTTTGCTACTTTCTGGGTGAGTGGCACCCCAGGAACCTCTCTGTTTGTTCATTCTATGCTCAGTTATGTACTAGAACAGAACGCTAGATTCCGTTGTTGGCTTTGGCAGGGATGCAGCTAGTCATCAGGGCAAGGTTTCTTTCACCCACTCAATAAAGATTAATGTCCCCACCGTCTTCACCTCTCGCCCTCGTACCCTGGACCCCAGAGGAATTGCTCTGTAGTTGGGAGGAGTGGAAGGAGGGTTACCAAGGAGGTCGAAGAAAGAAGGGTAACCCCCTACAAAAGGGGCTCCAAGTTAACATAAACCAGCAGTGTTTCTAAGGTCCCTGGAGGCAACTACAGCCTCCCCACCTGACTTGGCTTTGGCCAGGCCTCTTCCTCCATGCCCATTGCAGGCTCTACTACTACACGGCACTGCAGGATTTTCTCTGGACCTCAGTTTTATCATCATGATTAAGATTCATTTCCTCAGATTCTCTAAATATTGAAATTTTGGAGGCAGAATTTCTCAGGAACACCACATTTTAAGGCACTTAAATCCAAGTTGGAGAAGCTGTGCCTGAGCTGGGCTGAGGACCTCTTTATAAAAGAGTGGGTACCTTATGAAAACATAAAGCATTCTGGCAACTCCAAGGACTCTCTGGTGCTGCCTTTGCCCTTCTGGGCCGAGGTGAGGTGGGGGTTGTGGGGGGAGAATGGAAGGAAGGAAACCCTGGCGTGGGCACTATAATGACGTCTTCTCAGTTCAGGGAGACTGAGTGGTTGGTGGTGTGTGTGGGGTAGACCCCTCCAGGCTGGGGCCCCGCTAAGAGGGGCGTGAGATGAACCAGGCAGCAGAACACTCTCAGAGAATTAAAAGTTCCTACTCAATCTTTATTCTTCGCCATATTCCCCGTAAATCTTTAGCGGGGCATTGCAGTTTTTCAACAATTCCATTCCCGACCACATCTTAGGATCTCAGGGCTGGTTGCTCTGTCCGGGCTCCAGGAATCATCCTGACAGCTCTGGAAGACAGACAGTGGTGGAAGCGAAAAAGTCTGGTAATTTAGACTGAGGTGTCTTCTGCACGGAAGGGAGGGCCTAACGCAGAAGTCCACACCTTCGGGCGGGCGGAGGTCGGCGGAGCGAACCCGCAGACGCCTGTGCGCGCTCGGTGTGCGTGGAACAGAGCCGGCGGGGCCGACCTTGCGCCTCCCAGGGACGCGCTTTCCTAATAAACCGGTCCAACTCAGCCAGCTGCAGGACTCAGGCTCAACCGCGTGTAGATTCTGTGGAGCAAGGCTGCCAAGACTCGCTGAGAGATGGCAGTCAAAACACCTCTCACCAAGGATAAAGGCAGGAAAAACCAAACCTCATCCCCAAGGCCGCCAGCGCGAGCGCGCGCACATAAACACACACACACACACACACACACACACACACACACACACACACA